TTCTCGCGGGTCCGCGAAAATGCGGCCATTGCGCCGCAACTAAGCCATGGAGAAACCGCGATTGTTCTCCAAGCATTCGTCTAATTGTCCAACATTCTTCAGATTTCTGCAATCGAACCGCAAAAAATCGGCGAACTATTTTTCCGGTGCCTGCTTGCCCAAAAATCGCATGGCCGCCTGCCCCCGGCGATTACCTGAAGAAGAGTGAGAGGTAGAAACTCTAGGATTGTTGCCTTCCCAACACACCTTTAACCCAATATTTGTTTTGATTCCATACGTCCACCTAACATGACTCCACAGCAGGCGACTCCACTCGACTCCACTCCGTAGATGATTGAAAATACGAGCATAAATGTGGTGCCGTGAATTTTAGGGCAGATACCCATCCAAGATCACAGCAGGCGATTCCGCCGCAGGCCTGATGACGTTTTCAAGGCAGACAGAGCTGTCGAATACCAAGGGCCTCGATGTCTGCAGAAAAAGCGGTCACCAGAGGGAACCGGCAGCACGGACAGTAGGCAGATATCACACTGCTTGTGCCACTCAAGGCATGTGAGGGTTCAATATACTCTCAGCTAAGTGTATTGGCGGTAGTCGCTCACTCGCGTCAGCCCAGTCTCATTGGATCCAGCTACTGCACGATGGATGTGATCTAACGAAGAGACTTACAAGGGAAGCATACTTGGTCGAAGTGGGGTTTCCATATGATATGGAGACCATCTTATAGAACATGGAACGCTGATTCCAAATCTGCTTTCCTTATCTGCAAAGTGCTTCTGGGAGAGGAGTTCTGGGAATTTTTATTGGTGAAAATTCAATGGTTTGGCCAAGGTGAAAACAGGTATTGAGATCTTTCCGGTGCTTGAAAAGAGTAATAAATGACAAGAGCTTATCAGTTTGAAGGTAGTATTGCATAAAAGGCCCTGGTAGTAATCATAGCCCCACTCGAGCTCATAGACTGCACTTTGAATGATTTTATGGTAGCCGCGCGTTTGAATTTTTGCTCCAAGAAATCTCCATAACTTCCCTCCCAGAAGCGCTTTGCAGATATGGAAAGCAGATTCGGAATCAGCGTTTTAAGCTCTCTAAGACAGAATACATTTCTAATGAAACGCCACTTCGACCAAGTATTCCCTTGTTAGATACTTAGATGGTCCGTCCTCACGTGACGTGCGGACCCAGTACAGAAGTGATCCCTGTCCCTCGCTTCGAACATCCACGATCTTCTTGGTCGTCGTTGGTGGCTGCGTCCACGAGTTCCAGCTGCGGTAATCGCATCCAGCTGATTTCTCCTGGTCCATCCGTTCCACGAACACGTCTGCCCAACTCGTCGGTGTCTTCCTCGAGGACGTTTGGCTTCGCGAGGAATCCACTCAGATGTACTTAGTGTCCATCTGTCGTCTGTTCTTCTCATGATGTGACCGGCCCATCGGTGTTTCGCGTTCGCAACGTATTTCGCTGGGTCACGAAGACGGGACATTCTTCTCATATCTGTACTGCGAAGTCCGACTAGATGTTGCTTGTGTCGGGTCATCTTCAGAAGACTGCGCTCGAGCGCTCTGTGGGTGGTCCTCAAAGATTTCGACGTGGCTATGGTGTCGGCCCAAGTCTCAGCTGCGTAGCAGAGCGCTGGGAGAACGGTTGAGTTGAACAGGTGGGCACGAAGCTCCGGGTCCGTCGGTTGGTCAGTGGTTTCCTTTAGAGGCCCGAAGGCGGCCCAGGCTGCTCTTCTTCTCCTGTTAAGTTCTTCCCTCAAGTTGTTCTCCATGTTCATCAAACGCCCGAGGTGCACATAGAAAGACGCCTCCTTAATAGGGGTGCTTTCCAACTCCATTTCTGCATCTTCGCAAAGGGCGTTCTTTATGAACCTGGGTCTTCTTCCGATTTATTCGCACTTCGATCTTCTTCCCTACTCCGTTTAGTTCCTTCAGCATCGTCTCTGCTTCAGTGATACTGCTCGAGAAGAGAACGATGTCGTTCGCAAAACGAAGGTCCGACAGGAATCTCCCATCAACTCGTATGCTTTTCTCGTCCCAGCCCAGAACTTCATCATCACCCATTGCAAGGTCGCGGTGAACAGCTTCGACGAGATTGTGTCGCCTTGTCGGACCCCTTTCCCAATTGGAATGGTCAGGGGCGATGGAATAACTGCATCGTCGTTGTAGAGTCCTTGTAGCAGTCGTCTAATGTCCCCACGTAAGCTGGGTCCGCTCCTTGATCGAATAGTGCAGGCAGGAGGCGTTGATTTCGACGCCGTCAGAGGCTTGCTCGTAGTCGACGAAGGTGAGGACGAGCGGCAGTCGGTATTCTCGGCAGCCTTCTATGACCCTTGAAACCGTCTGGATGTGGTCCATACACTTGAATCCTTGCGAAATCCAGCTTGTTCTTGGGGTTGGGCTTCATCCAGTGTCCTAGATATGCGAGTGAGGATAATCTTCGTGAAAAGTTTGTACAGCACACTCAGCAGGCATATTGGAAGGTAGTTTTGAAGATCCTCCCGTTCACCCTTCTCGAAAAGAAGGACGGTTCTTGACGTTCTCCACTGGTCGGGAATTCTCTCTTTCTGAAGGTAAGATGTCAGGTGCCGTGAAAATCTCGTGTAGACGTTGTCCTCCGGCTCGCAGAAATTCAACGGAAAGATGGTCTGGTCCTGGAGCCGTAGATGTCTTCATGATCTGAATCGCCGTGCGCACCTCAGCAGGTAGAATTCGTGGTGGTACTTCTACAGTGGGAACAACGGGCATCAGCAGAGGTGTTGATGAGCGGAAGAGGTTGGTGTAGAAGTTCTTCGCGAGAGATTCCATCTATCGGAAAGAAGTCGGAATCCCATCTTCGTTCAATAGTGCAGCCAGCGGTATGTGATATTCACAGAGGTCCCTTTGGCATTTCTTAAGACTCCGTCTTCCTTCGGCTACTTCCAGTATTTTGGCTTGCCTGTACTTCCTGAGATCCTCCTGCAAAGCTGTTCTGCAACTGGCATTGGCTATCTCGCTCGAGAGGGGTTGCATTCGGATCCTGCCTCAAAATCTATCTTCTTTCGAGCAATTCCATGGTGGTCTTCAGAATACGTTACTAGTTCTTCTCAGAAGTCACTGAGACGCATTTCGCAGTCCCGCAATCCTTACAAAAGCCGATCGTAGTCGTACGTTGGGTCCTCCTCGATGTGCCAATCACAACTTGATATGAGCTCTTCCAGCCTGTTACCGTCATAAACGACTTCCTTCCTTCCTGCGGCTCTGCGACAAACTTTCTTTTCCAGCTTTCGACTGAATCGTATCTTCGCTCGAAGAGGCGGTGATCGGAGTCACCGCAGAAGGATGAAACTACTGAGGTATTGAGCAATCTCCAACTTTGGTTGGTGAGAATGTGGTTGATCTCCGCGTGAGTGTTTCGTTGAGCGATTCCCAGTTCTTTCTTCATGAAGATGGAATTTGGAAAAGTTGTGAAGCGCGGAGAAGCCTAGCGAGACCGTTGTCGTTTTCATTCCGGAGTCCAGATCCAAACTTCCCGATCCTATATTCCTTTTCTAGTGCATCCCGATTTTCGCGTTACAGTCGCCCACAGCAAACTTTTAAAAGGATTTCTCGTTGCGGACAACCTCCTCCATGTCTCCGTAGAAAACATCTAGTTCTGAGTTGTCAGCTGCTGATGTTGGTGAGTAGCAGTTGATGACGCTGATGGTCTTCTGACGCGGAGGTCGTAGTCGTAGGATGGCTAGTCGGATCTCATGCGAACTGACAAGATGGACGATAGATGGATGGACGACAAAGCCGACGCCTCCGACTTTTCGTGATGGAGCATTCTCACTACGAATGATGAGGTCCCGTCACTCATCTGTCGCACGTCCTAGCGATGTGTGGTACTTGATGCGCCCTGCAGCGTCGAGAAGAGCGCCAAAGTTGGCGTTTGTGGAGATTGTCCTGGCATGTAGGTGCAGAGCATGAGGCAGTCTTCATGGCGTGTCGTCCGGGCAGAGGTGTCGTTTTTGTCCGATCCAAAAGGCGCCCTGATCCTGACATCGTTCTTGCCACCACCCAGTGCCGTAGGCGGGATCCGATGTGCAGGGTTTTTTTCTAGTCCTCTAACTGGCGGAGTAATGAAAATCCCCTACAAGAGCAGACTTACTTGGCTTACTCCTGATTTCCACGCTGCGATCGCCGACGGGTGAGATGAGAATCTAGCGACCCGGAAAACCAGACGCGGTGCATCTTGCCTGGCCTGCTCTTAGCTAGGCATCCAGCCGAAACAAAAACGTCGAACTCCTTCACAGTTTGGGAGGCCCTACCAGAGTATACACTCGGCTCTGCATCGCAGTTTGACACCCAGTGTCACTAGACGCTACTTTGAGGTGTGGGGTGTGACACTGAGTGGCAGGCCGACATTGTGGGGGAAAACTGGAACAATAAGGGACCCGTCATCTTTCGTCGGGAAAAGCACAAAAGCGCCCAAAAAGCCCAAAAGCGCAAAAAAAACTCAAAAAGCCCGAAAAGCCCAAAAAAACCGAAAAAGCTCAAAAGCGCCAGAAAGAGCCGGGACGCAGAAACGAACTTTTGTAGAATTCTGCCATTATTTTGATGTGCAGACGCCGGAAATGAACCAGAAAGACTTGGTTGCAAAATCAACACACATGCCTTAGCCTCAAAACGTGCGCGCGGAAGGGAGCGTTCCGCCTCTTCCTGGCGCTTTTGGGCTTTTTGGGCTTTTTTGAGCACTTTTGGGCTTTTTTCGGCGCTCTGGCCTTTTCTCGGCGAAATATGACGGGTCCCTAACGCTTTTTCGGTTTATCATACGTCAAATGCAATTCGGTTTCTGCACTGCTCCCTCTCACGTTTTATTCGACGCCCGAATTATTGACAGCATGTCTTTTCTTGGCTGGTTGCCCTCCATTTTTTTTCTTCTTTTTTTTTGCGAGCGCATTTCCATTTATCACACATTTTTTTTTGCCTTTCTGTGGTTTCTTGATCTGCATGCATTTTCAGTTGTTGACAATTGTGTTTTATGTTTCAGTGGTAGGAGACAGTCATGCTTAGACGTTCTCTTTTCACACTGTTTCAAATCAACACGCGTCCAAGTTGCTCAAGAACTTCATTTCCTAAATATTTGATTTCGAGGTGAAACATAACTTAAACCAGATTATTTTGATTGCTCTGATGTTGCACTTATGCGTTGATTTCATTTCTATTTGATTATTCTTGCAGTTCAAATGGCTTACGACGATTTCACTCTGCAAAACTATTATGTTCTGTGGAAGAAGTCCGTCGAGAGGAGGATTTCGAGCAACGAGTTATCAATAATCGACGTCTATTGCGAAAAAGGCGCCAAGTGTCCTCCGCACTTGCGAAAAACGTAAAGTTTGTTAGCAGTACCTATTCAACCCTGCATTCTTTGAGATTTTGAAACCGAATTTCTTACTTTTTAGCTGAGAAAACCTGAAGTAGTGGCCATGGCCCTATCTGAGTCGCTTGACCTCGATGGCATTTTAACTGACCCATCAATCACTAACATGTTTACGGCTTCTTACATTGATGAAGGTGATTATTTTCTTTTTTTTTTATAGTGGCAACTTTCTTATTCATCTTTTGCAGAATTCGATGATACAATTCATTTGGTAAAGAAGCTAGAGTACTCCATAAATCCTGCTCAGATCAATGAGATTTTCGTCTTTCAAGACGGTGTGGTGGTGTTTTGGAATATCGATCATGCCCAGGTAAATCATTTTTGCTATTTTCTTTTATCGTGTTAATATTTCCTTTATCATGTTATATTCTGCTCTTTAATGTTCTTTTCCTTCTGAGGCAAGATGCAGGTTGATCATCGAGACTATTTGGCCCCAGCCACACCTCGCCTAAAAGCATCCAAATTTCTCTAATGTCTCTTCACCTTCTCTGTGAAGAGAGAAAGTGAAGAGAGATCGCAGAAATCTGGGCGGGCGCTTTTGAGCGAAGTCTGGCCGGGACCTTTGGATAAATTGGCTAGGGTCCTATAGGTCTTTATCGCCGCCATGAGGCAGTCTGGTTGTAACGAAATCTGGTAAATGACAGATGTCCTCCAATATACATGCGCAATAAATGCATGCGACTCATTTTTTTTTTGAAGTTTATGCTTTGCTCCACGTCTTCCAACGTAAAACGCATATAAAGCAAGCCACAAACGATTCCAGCGTCACATGTACACTGACTGTATTTGAGCGAGTGGTGCAAGGCATGGTTATTTTGCTTGCTAGTATTTGATGAGTTGCCAAATCGCGTAGCGACCATAATAGCACGAGGTATAATCAAAGCCTCATCTTTTACGTTCGATTGCGCGGCGACCTATGCAAACATTTCCAAACTTTGACTTGTGACATAGGAAAGGGATTTAGTCATGGATGGGGGAAAAGCGAAAGCGGTAAAGAAGCTAAATAGTTGGAATCATTTGTCCGTGCCGCTTGGGCCGCTCACGGCAGCCGAGTGCCTACAGGACCATTATACATGACAAAGTGGAAAAAAAAATGCTGTGCTCAAATCGTGTTGATTATCTCACTTATCAGATTGTGATTATACGGACGTTGATAGTGGTTAACTGTGTCAGCTACAGTTTAGAAAATACCCCTTACCAATCGAATTCATGTAAGATGTACGACATCGAAAGCGTATCAACCCATCTTGTAACAAAAAAGGTTTGGAATTACAAGAATTAGGTTCGACGCATAGTAACAGTAGTGCTAAGAACTCAGTCAAATAAAAAGAGAATTAATGCCTTGGTGAGAGGCAGATCAGCCACGAGATAGCTTTACCCTAAGTAAGTGTAAAGGTAGTGAAGCTAGAATGCCGTTCACGCTAAGTTAGGGATCTCCAGCTTTTGGTCAGAATACAATAGCAGGGCCTCCTATCAAGCCACTGCCCAAGTTGAGGCCTAAAATATCGCTCCGGAATAACGAAGAGGCATGAGAACCCGGAGGCACCGCCTTCTCCAGTAATGCCCGCCCATCCGTGCGCGCCCGCCCATTGGCCGCGCCGCGAGTACTCCACAACGAGTATTGTCGGGGTTTTCACGTATTTAACGACTTCACATTCGGAATCAGGGAATGACAACGCTCGGACGACAAAAAACGTGGAAGTGAGAGTCTAGGTGGAAGATGCGGGTGCCCATCTCTAACTTTCGATTTGAACTTTGATCCGAAGGAAATGCAAATACTTGCGACGCGTTTGTACCGGCTGGTTTCGGAATTAGGTGTATCTCATAGCTGTTAGTTTTATACCATGAAAATGTAGCGTTTGGTATTTTAGTGTCTTGAGGTTGTCGTCATAATCATGCTAGAGGGTTGAGAGGTACCAGGATTTTAACTCCAATTTTTTCGCTTTGAACGTGCGTAGCTTTAGCTTCGCCATCCGAAAAATTTTTTGGGAGTCATACCAAAATTTGTGGGCACACATAACTCTGAATTTCAACAAAAGCCGGCATGGCTACCGCCGCTTTCCAAAATTTTTTTATGGGTGATTGGAATTTTTAAACTTGTTCTCCGTTCAAAATACAAACCAGTCGTTTGCACATTTTTATATCGTCCAAGTACTCCGTAAATTTCGCGATCCATTTTCGGGGGGGGGGGGGGGCTCAGTCCGCCACTGCAATACACACCTATGGGTGAAATTTGAGGTTATCTTTAATGGACAGTAGAGATAAGAATGTCATATCTGTGAGCGGTTTAATTGGGACTTTGGAATCTTTAAGAGGGTGTCAAAGTCCATTGGTTATCAACGTGCTTTTTTATATATTTTCGAAAGTAGTCAGATTGTTACCCTTTTTTTCTGAAACGCAAAAAATTGTCTTGTGTTCAGAGAGCGCACACTATACGTGATCTAGAAAGATATATGGATGGGGAGTACGAGTCATCAATCACTATGGAAGAGCAAGACACCATGCCCTATACACTAGCGGAGAAGTAGGTATTACTGTTTGTTTCCCTCAGTGTTCTTCCAAAGTATCTTTCTTGAATGTAGTCATTACCTTCCTGTTCATAGTTTTACCTTCAATCTTTTTTTTTTGATGTTTTGCTTCGCTATTTACATCATTATGGAAGTTAGATAGCGGAACACTCTTATTCTTTGTTCTGTTCTGTACTTGCGCTCCAGGTACATCTACAACTTTATATTCTTTTGGCAGCTTTTGAAACCAGCTTTATATTCTTTTGGCAAAAATATGTGTTTCTGTTGGCTAAATTTCATCTTACCATCCCAGTCATGTAAAATTAGAAAGGCTTTATGCTTTGATCGCGTATCGCATGCGGAAAATCGCTAAATCTGCTCATTTTGTGTTTGCTAAAGTCAGTATTGCGTTGGGTGGTAGATTCGGTATTTTGCAACAAAAAAACGTTGATTCTACCGCAATCCATCAAATAGGTAGGCATCTATATCATCGAAAGATTTGAAAGATTGCATTGTTTTTTTAGAAGGTCATGCTTGCCCTAGCCAAATTGACGTTCCAGTGCGATAAAGGGAGAAAATTTCTATGTTGAAGATAGTAGACACTAACATGAAAGTACTTATAATTTTTCATGCATGTGAGTAAGACGATCCGGTTTTGCTGAAACGAGCCTTGTTATTCCAGTTTAACATTCGGTCGCAGAGAATCCGTTACATTCTTGATCCAAGAAAGGCTTTTGCGGGAACGTTGCATGAGAGACGATGATTCATGACACGTTATTTTTCGAAATTTTCTCAGCCGGGAGATGAGCCGCCGTGGGTGAGGCTCTATTGACGATGCGCTATCTTCTCTTTGCTCTAGCGCGCTGATGCGAGTTCTTTTATTCAGCGTCAGCAATCATGGCATCTTTTCCATCTCTTTCATCTTGCTGATGCAATTGATTGTATTCACAACGATTGCGTATGTGCCATCTCACAGTATAGATTTCTCACGTATCTGCTTTTTTGTTGAGATCGGATCCATCCTACTCCTCAGGACGCCATATGTTCATGCTTTTGATCTCATTACAAGTTCCCCTGAAGTGTAATGTACAAATTTTTTCAGTGAAGAGACTAACGTAAAACATGACTGCTTTGTTCTCAATGCTGAGAAACATGGTGTTGGCCATAGGAGTTACGACAACGTTCTTGAAAGGTTTTCGCTAAGTCAGGCATTTGCAGCATCAGGTTTGTTGCAGTAGTTTCTTCGATTTTTTGAACTATTGAATCTATAGTTCCGATTTAGTAAAAGTAGGAGTATGGGAGACTTTGTTGAACAATCTCGCCGAGCCACTTTCGGAAACAACCAAGGTGATTAATTGCTGGAATGTAAACTTTTTGAATGATTACGTAATATAATCCTTTAGGCACTCAAACAGGGTGTAGTGCCTTGGAGTAGGAAAGAAGCTTTGAAGAAATCGGGTGAATTTGCGGCAATGCGGTAGGTTTGTGGCTGGCTTCGTGATGTCTGTTGAAAAACTCGCGATGAAATTTTAGGCACTCAATAAATCTCGATTGCACCTTGCTCAATCGTGATTTCTACTGGGATCATTCTCAAGTAGAGAAATTTTATCTAATGTCCGCTAGACATTTTATTCTCAACAGGCGGATAAGGCAAGTCATTTCATACTGAAATGTTCTTCATGTATAAAAATCTGTCTTTTTTTCAGCGGGTTGAACAGACGGTTGGATTATTGCGAGGAGTTAGTGAAGATGGTTGACAACATATTGGCTTTGCGACATGTGAGTGTGATTTATATGTTTGTTTATCGCTTAATTCGTCAAGTAGAGTGCTGGCTTAGCGAAATACAAGCTGCGAGCAGAAGAGAAAAATAGCGAAAGGTTGTAAGCTTTGGAATTTTAAAACTTTCATGCGATGAGAGTGCTGAGAAAATACTAAAAACGATATCTGATGCTTAGGTATTTTGCTTTGAAACCTATTAATCTCCAAAAAGTAAAAAGTTCTCTGCGGTTTCAGATCTCCAAATTTTTCTGAATTATACTGGCAATAACGAATGTAAACATAGCACTTGTTTGATATCAGAAAATTTGCTGATTTCTTTTTTTTATCATGTTAAAAACTCCATGGAAAAATCACTTCTACAAAAAATGTTCTCTGAAAGATTTAGGAGGGGAAAGAGTAGCGCCACGTCCTCTTGTTGAGAAATCTCATTTTTTGTTCTCTAAAATAATAGCTTCAAGTAACGTTAATTGGTGTACTTGAGTCTAAAGTTTTGATTTCGGAGTATTGATTACCCTATTTGTAGGCTTCCACTTTGGAATGGATGATCATCGTGCTCATTGTAATTGAAGTAGTTTTTGATACCTTCCACTTTCTGGATTCTTCACCTACCAAAGTTGTTATAGTTGAAGATGCTACATCATCGTCTAGCAACACTTCTAATTGAATTATAGTATTTCTTTCTATTTTTTGCACAATTTTCAACCACTGAGCTCAATTGAAAGCTTCCACGTTTTAGTTTATTGATCAATGTCGTTATGTATCGCATGACTAGTCGTGTTGTTGGCAGCGTTGGAAAAGTTTTGTAGGATCTTCTGTTTTCCCTTGTTACGTCGTTGAGTTGTTATCTGATAGGTTTTTATAGTAGTAAATCTTCTCAACTTGTTTTTGCTTTGCGTGAATAAGAGGTGTCTCTTCACCGTATCTTATCGCTGTTTCCCTAGGGAAATCTTTGCTACTGGTTGAGGTTGCTTTCAATTAGCGTCTGCTGAACGCCTAGTCTTTTTACGTTATTCCGGTCAATCAGTTCTTCCTCGTAAGTTGTGCAAATCACTTTCAGGATGTTAACTCGTGTAGTGCCAGTAGTTAGTCGTGCAACAGTAGTACGTAGTTCACTGAGACTTCTTAGCGCACAGGCTACAGATGAGTTTGCTCTACATGAATTCGGTGAGAAGTACTTGGGCCATCGTAAGGTAATGGATTTACAGTCTAGCTGATATGCATGATTAACTACGTTCTTTCTAGGCTGCGTTCACTGAGAAGCTGGAGATCATCGATCCTGACAAAGCACCGGCTATACCAATTTACCGCGTAACGGACACGAAAGGCAATTTCTTAGACACATCACAGGATCCAAATTTTGATAAGGTCAGTTTACGGATTTTCTCAACGGTCTGAACGCAACAATTGAATAATCCGAAAAATTGGCACATGGCAGTCCTTGTCGCGAGGGTTTGCGCCACGTCTGCGGCTAGCTTGTCTGGCTCTTTTTCAGTCTCTTTGCTATCTCCGACAGTGCGCACATGCAGCTCAAACCTCTGGCGTTGGAAGCGCGCAGATTTAGCCAAGGGTTTGGCTCGTTTCCCAGTAAGGCAAGGGACATACCTCACGCGATTTCAGTCGCCACGCGATCTGGCAATTTGCCATATGTCTTCAATTTCAATACTGGAAAACCTCAAATGCACAGCATGTATAACTTTCGTAGGTTGATAAAATGCTTTCCCTTCCGTACATTCAGAAACCCCGTAGGATGAGTTATGAACATTTGGAGTATTGCCAAATCGCGTGGCGACTGAAATCGCGTGAGGTATGCCCGAGGCCTAAGACAGACTGTACAGGCTATCTTAATTGTAGTGTTGTGTGCACCTGCAGGTCGAATCCAGCACGGTCGCCTCGGACACCGCGTTGCATTTGCGGACGTGTCGTCTAATTATTCTTCTACGTCCAACCGTGGGGAAGGGCTTAGAGCCGAGCTTCGTCGCTAATTAGGCGTGGGAAAATGGTCAGAGAACACATTCGCGACAGCGATGTGACTTTAAGCGAGACGGCAGCGCGAACCAGCGCCGCTGCTCCTGACACAGCAATTGAGATAGTCTGAAGTGGCGACTCCGTGACACGATGAGATGGTATTAGGTTGTTCCCTAAGTCTTGTTACACTATAACTTCTTACGGCGATAAGTCATGCACCTCATTTTCTTTACAGGGCTCCTGGGTACCATTCGATAGAGCAAAGCAACCTGTAGAAGATAGTGTGCATAAGTTCGCACTAGCCCGGCCTACCGTAAGTTTGCATCCAAAAACTGAGTCGTACCGAAGGCTCAAAAAATCGCGAAAAATTCATATCTTTATCCAAAAAATTCCTACGAATTTCCAACTTGCTCATAGAATTTGCACACTATATCAGACACTCATATGTACCGTTACTGTGTTGCTGTGTTGCTTTTCTTCCTCATCTAGAAATCGAGAAAACGAAGATTTTCTTGTTTTTACAAAAACGAAGCTATGCTGTTTCTATTCATGCAGCTGTATACTACAAGCCTTCAGAAGTACAACCGTAAATTTTCACCTTTCCAGAAGCTCTAGTGTTCGAAAATTACCTAATTTAGCATTGAACACCCAACTAAAAAAGCTAAATCCGGTATTTTCCGAAAACTGGAGTTTCTGGATAGCTGAAAATTTACGGTTATACTTCTAAGGGCTTGCAGTATACAGACGCATGAATAGAAACAGCATAGCTTCGCTTTTGCAAAAACAAGAAAATCTTCGTTTTCTCGAGTTCTAGATGAGGAAAAAAATACAGCTACGGTACATATGAGTGTCTGATATGATGTACAATTTTTATGAGCAAGTTGGAAATTCGTATGAATTTTTTGAATAAAGATACGAATTTTTCGCGATTTTTTGAGCCTTCAGTACGACTCAGATTTTGAATGCAAACTTATAATGGGTCAAAGTTGGTGCGAACTTTTGCAAATCTTTTCTGTAGAGCTTGCTTCGCTCTATCGAATGGTACCCTGGAGACCTGTAAAGAATATGAGGTGCATGACTTATCGCCGTAAGAAGTTAGAGTGTAACAAGACTTATGTAATAACCTAATACTTTGCACTATCAGTTTTTTTGCTTTATCTGCTACTGCAGTCGTCATGGGGGGCATTATGACTGTACTCAGTTTTTTGCTTCCTGTGTGACATTATCAGTCGTATACATAAAACAATTTGTAACGATAGTTCAATTAACATCGAATAAAGTACGAACTTTCTGTGCTAACCGGAAAATTATCTGTCTTAAATGAAGTGGGTTTTGTCCCAAATTGTCAGGATAAGGCGACAATGTTTTTGAGTACTGATAACGAACAAATTGATTAGATGCGAAGAGATAATCCTGACAAAAGCTTGCTTCGATTTCTTGCATTTTTGTATTGATGGCGGTAATCATGCTTGCTTTGCACATATCTTAGTTGATAAAAAAGATAATCTGTAAAAGCGTTCGCTTCTAATTTTTGCACACCTACTATGCTTGCATGATTCTGTAGGCAGAGAACTTTATGTTGCCGGGAGATCCTTGCGGTTTTCGACAAGTGCACACCTCTCATATATGCAAGAGGTGAGCAGTGTTGCAGATGTCCGCGCATCTTATCTTTCGGGGACATGTAGTCTTCTACTTGATAGTGACAGGAAGGGTTAAAAATAAGCAGAATGAAGCCATCATGTTGTATGAGAAGAGGTTGCCGCTAAAAATGGATCGCGAGATTGTTGAAAATGGACTACGTGAGTTATCAAATGCAAGCAACTTGTGTCTGCTCGTGAGCAGTTGAAATGATATCACTTGAGAGAAATTCAAAACGATGTTGCCAGTCCCTTTTTGGAATTTTCGAAACACAGACAGCATATTCCAGAAAAGCATCTCAATATATGGGTAAGGGCTATATGTCGCCGAAATTGAGAGGCCCCGCTGGAAATCTGCAACAAACACGCATTCCAATACATGTACAGGCTGAGTATCTGCTGCATTGACCGCGCGGGATCCTCCCACTTTCGGCGACATATGGTCCTCTACCCTCAAAATATTGCTGGTGGCATGTCTAACACTGACACTTCATTGAGGAAAACTGTGAACTAGAGAGAAGCCGAAACCACGCTTTCTCACCTGCAGGGTGTGTTGAGCAACAGCTGAAATCAGTGAAATACAGCAGTCAGAATCTTTGCAATTCAACTGATATACTCCGAATGTCACAGACTGATAATACAGCTAAAGACGGATTGCACTGCTTATTGTCAAATAAATGGGTGAAGAAGTAGTTTTGTGAAAAAAAAAAACTGAAAATTCACTCTGTCAGGTCTTTGACTCGATGTTTTGGGGTTAGCATTCAAACGAAATGCAGTTAACAGCAACAACTCTTACTTTGACTTATCACCAGAAGTATATAGCTTAACAGTTTAGCTTTTTTGCAGGAAACTTCGCTCAAAATATACCGCGACATGACTCAGTTGAACATTATGGATCACATTCTTTATGATTCTCAGCGACAAGGACGAATCTCTTTCTATATGACCAACTTTGGAGAAGAGGTATCTTGAAAATCTTCAGGTTGTTTTTCTTATCAAAGGTACATGTCACAGGGAGCCCATGTGGGATCGGCAGCAGCTCTTAGTGACAAAGATCTGGTATATGGTCAATATCGAGAAGTTGGAGTATTGATGTGGAGAAATTTCCCCCTTGAAAATTTCATGAATCAGTGCTATGGAAATCATAAAGATATAGGTGGTTTTTTTTTTTCAGATAACTGAGATTCTATTTTTGGGAAATAGTGGGTTGCAGGAAAAGGACGACAGATGCCTATACACTACGGTTCCGTTGAGCATAATTTCGTCACAATCTCTAGTCCGCTTTCTACCCAAATACCACAGGTCTCCAATTCTGCTTTGAATCACTCGCAGTGAGTGAACTGAAACCTTCTTAGGCAGTTGGAACGGCGTATTCGTTCAAGCGTAAGCCAAACAATGACCGCATCGTCATCTGTTACTTTGGCGATGGAGCGGCGTCAGAGGGCGACTGTCATGCTGCCTTCAACTTCGCTACAACATTGGTATGTTACCTTTTGTCTTTGTTGTAATATTCCACCTGCAGCAATTTCGGGGATTTCCCCTTCATCTTGCTCGGTTTGAAGTTCATCGAAGTCAGTGCAGCTTATTTGTTGAAGTTTTTTTTTGTGTAGTATACGTTCGTAATGCTATGTAGTTTATCGCAGTCCTTTTCAGGACTGCCCAGTCATTTTCTTCTGCCGAAACAATGGTTATGCTATCAGCACACCGACCTCAGAACAATACGGTGGTGATGGTATTGCTGGAAGAGGCCCAGGCTATGGTCTTCACACTATTCGGTCAGTAAGATTTGTCAATGGTTCCTGCGTAATTTCGATTAGCTACAGGGTCGATGGAAATGATGTGTTTGCTGTTTACAATGCTACAAAGGCGGCAAGAGAGTTGGCTATCCAGAATAAACCAGTGCTCATAGAGGCCATGACATATAGATTGGGACATCATTCAACTAGTGATGACTCAACGTTTTATAGGTAGAGTTTTGCCTTCGTCTTGTCCAAATTAGATATATGGTGTACCGCCCACCGTTTGTATTATCTGTAATCACCACTTTTGCAGAAAGAGTGAAGAGGTGAAGGAATGGGGTGACAAAGACCATCCAATTACTCGATTCAAGAAATACATTATGGATAAAGGATGGTGGACAGAAGACGAGGAAAAGAAGTGGCAGAAAGAGGTAAGTATTCGATGATATCATGACTTAAGTAATACTAATGAAGTTAATGTTTACTTATAACTTCTCAACTTACATGATTTTCTATTACTCATCAATGCAATTTGCCATCTATAATGAGATTTTTGATTGAGAATTTTTTGGCAGTAGCGCACACTTTCGTTTGTGCGGTGGAAAGTATCCTCTTGAGAATGTCGGCGCTCTCGTGCCTTCGTTCAAAGATTACTGTGTGATTCTTAGATCACAGAAGCGATCAAATTGGCAGATCCGGTAGCTTATGGCATAAAAGTAGCAGTTGTGCTAGGCTTAGGTTCCGGAACATATCGATTTCAAAAGTCCCTAGTGTATTTTCTAACCTCTGACACTTAATCTTTACTTTGCAGTGCCGCAAACGAGTACTGCAGGCGTTCAGCAAGGCAGAGAAGGAAAAAATAGCCCACCATCACGACATGTTCCAAGATGTATATAGGTATGTATAAGATCCGTAATTCTTTTTCTTCAACTGTATCTATTCACTCATGCTTGATTCTGCAGTGAACTGACACCTCGACTCAAGCAACAACGAGATGAATTCGATGCTTTCTTGAAGGAGTATAAACAGAATTATCCTATGGACAAGTGTCTACCAACCCCTCCTTGAGGCAGTGTGACTGCGTAAAAATTAGTAACATTAGTTTTCTTAGTGCACATGGTGTTTGTTAAACGCAAATGGTGATCCGGTGCATGTCTCATGACTCTGTATTGTAATCTCAACTTGAGTTATGAATAGATTTTCATTTATCCAAGCATTTTACTCTTCACCTGTGATGAAAATTGCATGAATCATTTGCCTTCTTATCTGTCGTGCTGTAGTAGGGAATGATTTTCTAGCATAGCTGTTACTTATAGATGACGCTAGAGAAAGCTCAAGAGATATACGCCATGTGCCAATTGGAAAAAATGACTCTGTCTGCTTCTTTGAGAACATTTTATTCCATATTTGCTTTGGGTATTCCGCTATCTGCATATCAAGTGCTTCTCATGCTGCAGGAATAAACATTCTATGCCAGTTACTTTCTTCAATAACAGTTTAGCACCTGTCGTATTTACTAAACTCTGATATCATCTGGCTTACAACCACGCCCTATTTTTAGCAAACGCAAGTCGTGGCAAGATTCTTGGTATAACAGGTCCGCACTCAATTGGTAAGTTCATCTTTGCAAATTTGGGTAGGTATTTCTCGGCATGAGGGGTTCGAAGAGTCTTACATAGTTACTTCGCTCATTTCGCTACAAGCTCATAACAGGGCCGCGCGGGGGACGCAGCGCGTGCAATGTCTGCGCTCTCGAATAACCTGATGTGAATTTGAGTTTTTCGACAAGACAACACTCTATTTTTTCGATTGGGGGAATGTGCACATTTTATTAGATACTTAGGAATCAGATAGAAATTAATTGCAAGGCTCTGAGTCTTTCTTAGGATTCTCCACTTTGAGATACTACCGAAATGTCCCTCAAGTTTCCTTTCCAGAGTGCTCGTCATGAACTTGCGCATTACATGATAATCAGCCACAATCTGGTTTTAACGCCAACAATTGCTATCCGTTTCCTTTTCGCGCATCGATTCCCGCCAAACCCGGTTTTTCTGAACAAAGTCTCGGCTAGCGCTTGATCATCGTATTATTCTACTCGGATCGCGTGTTTATCAGTGAATGGCATTGTTTATGTTCCACTGGTAGTTGTTTATGCTTTCTTTTCATTGTTTCTGATGCCGGTCTAGACCTCTAATCCGTTTTTTTTTTCGGAATCAATAATACGTTATCTATTTTGCAACGTTGGCTGTTTTCAACTTTTTTCTTGAATTAAAGGTCTCTCTGCTTTGTGGTCAATTTGTGTTGGGCTGATTGTCTATGTGAACTACTTGACGATTGAGAACGTACAAAATCATTTTTACTCTTTTGGCCCCATGATTGTAAGAGCCTTTGCGTTTCTACCTGGACCGGGTAACATGTGCAAGCGCCATTCTCATTCTGAAGAATCATAACGATTATCCCTCCAATTTCCTTCCCCCCCCCCCCCCCTTCCCCCGACAAAGCTAGTCGGCGGAGTGAGAGAAGCGTCCTGATCTAATATCGATGAAGAACATTACTCCAAAGGAAAGCAGAGACACCTCAGGGCCGAGAAATACCAGACAAAGGGCTAATTGTCTCAAATGTCCTTTCAGATCAAGGATTTAGGGGAGGATATGGAGGACGAAAATGAGGTTGGATTGCCAGCAAAAGGCATCAGTATGATCATCAAGGAAGTGCTGCCAGACATGCGAATTGCTAACGAATCTCGCGAATTGTTTGCCGCTTGTTGTGTGGAGTTTGTAAAATATGTGGCCAGAGGCGCTCAACACGTGAGCGGGCATGATCAACGTAAAACGATCTATCATGAACACGTGCTGAAAGCTCTACAGTTGCTGCAGTTTCCTCCAGATTACTGCGAAGCTGCCGATAGCGTTTTGGGGGAATGTAAGGTTCGGATTTTTATGATTTGGGCTGATTTTGTTTCGCTTTGTTTCTTAGAAAACCCCTTTCTAAACTGTTCCGTTTGAGGAACATGATGTGAAGCTGCTGTGGCAGACATGGTATTTGATGCTTGCAATGTCATTCTTATGATGTTTGCTTACATCGTCTTGTACCAGTCACAGGCGCTTTTCGCACAGTATCAATCCCCTCTCCCCCCTCCAATCTTTCCACACTGTCCCCTATTATGTTGGTGCAACGCTTGTGCTTCTTTATGGCATTTTGTTTTGATGACAGCATTCCGAGGGTGTTTTGTTAGTTGTTTTCGCTATGACGTTCTATAACGCAGCCACGGACAATCAGACGTTAGAGTGTTAATAGCTGAAATTGCTAAATTAGCGCTCTCACCATCCTCAAACATAGCAGTTTATCCATGAATTGTTAGCTTTGAGGATATGACTTTTGACTAAGAAACTTTCACGCTCCTGGGCCAACATAAGGCTGCGTTCATACTGATCCCGAAGTTCGGGAACAGTTCCAGCGCAGCGCTCGAACTGAAAGTTGTGCTGGAACTGTTCCCGAACTTCGGGATCAGTATGAACGCAGCCTAAGGTGATATGGCCCCCCCCCCTCCCCCCAACACGCTGCGGTCTTACGAAAAAATATCAGGACACATATTTTATGTGCTTCCAGAAGTCATTCACATGTCAAGACTGCAGTAGCTTCACATGTGGCTTACCTAAACAAAATCAGAAAAAAGGTGTATTGCAATCAGCTAAGGATCTTTTCTTTTGAGGTGGCTGCTGAAAAACGTCTAAAACGAAAAAATTCACGATTGGACAAATGCGGAATTCCGGAAGAAGAGCTGTATCTCATGCAACAGCAATTGATACAACAAGCGCGTGAACAAGATCCAGATCAGTTGCGTGCCCAAGCTGCAGCCGTTCAGCCGCTCGTCCAGGAGCAACAAGTGTTCGCTGCACAGCCGGCCCAGGATGATGATGAGTATGATACATAATGCATACTTCGACTGGTTTATTTGTTTTTGTGGTTGTAAATAGTTGTGTCATAAGAATTAGTGGGTTTCTTCCAGCATACTATGGTTTTTTTTATTTGTTTTCCTCTGGTGGACTAGAGAAGGCTTGAGTCTTTGTGGAAACTACAAATTTTTGATTTTTTTTGGAATTAGACTGAATTTTTATATCTTTCTTTGATGCTGCTAGACTTGTCTGAATTGTCTGAGACAGGTATTTTGTGACTTATCTTCAGAGACTTTTAGACAAGCATACGCTTTGGTTTTGATTTTTTGTCCTAAAATCTATCTCATTTTATAGAGCTTCCCCTTTTTTTTCTGAGGAGATCATTTTCTGTTTTTCCTACCTTGTCATGACAAGATGTGAATGAAATATATTCATTTTTGCGTTATGTTTTTGTTTATGGTCTTACGTCCAAATATTATGAATTTCTTCGAATACTGTTGATGCGCAAAGGTTCCGCTTGGCAACGACATCTGAGTAAAATAGAGCTAGGTCGCTCAATTGCTTTTCATGCTTTGTACGAATCCTGGTTCAAAAATCTACGAATGATTTAGTCAAATTTTTTTTCTAATCTCCATGTTTAGTAGAAATCCTTTGAAGTGAACTTTATTTGCACCCTTGTGTAGGAGAGTCGGCGAGATGATAGTCTGATGTGTTCAGCGAAAAGTCATTTACGTCACAAAACCTTGATCTCAGCTGGATTCGGTAATCGTGGGAAGGTTGTAGGCCCGTTTGGAGAAAGCTAGTGCTATTTCTCTAATTATTTTGAAATTTGAACATATTATCCAAAAACCCTACGGAAACATAAAATTGTAGATTACTTCCTCAACCATTTAATCGTAAAGCTGTTATATTCTTCACTTCACTCCCACATTTGGTTGAGATCTCTTTTTCTCTTCTTTTTCTATCAGAAAGCTCGTGTGTTGTCGTGCCTATTTCGTGCCAGGTTTTGGAAATGAATGTTGCCCTTTCCATTCTTCTCCTATGCTCTCAATTTTTTTTTCGGTTTGTGTGCTTCATCTGATGCGGAGCTGCATCAACGCAGATTTTCAAACTAAACAAATACTAACAAATTGTTTTGTATTGTTCCATATCTTTTTGTGAATCTATCTACTTGTAGACTTGTAGAACAAGATTTTACTTTAACTCTAATCTGTGAGGCTAGAAGAGAGCACTGTTCCATTAATTTTTCGCTGTGCAGCTACTTTTTGTGAAATCTGTGCAGATCTGCACTTGTTAGAAATTCTTTAATGTTTTGACAAGAAAAATAAAATTCAAAGCAGTCAAAAGGTTTGAAGGGGGCGCTGAAAGAATTTCGGTTGTGCTCCCCCCCCCCCAAGGACAGACGTCGCAAAATTTTCAGAAGTGGTTAGTATCGGTTATGATTTTACTTGTAGATAGTAGGATTTACCGAATCAAAAAACTGAGTAATGTAAAATTTTTCTTGACCGGTTTGAGCGTTGTAAGCCTGCAAATTCTGATAAATGTCCCAAAAAATTCTAGAATGCGAGAATAATGCCACGCCTTCCAATTTTTGGGGTGATTCTCAAAGTTTCCGCAAGTTGCCTTCTTCTCTCTCTCCCCCCCCCCCCCTCTTCCTTCCCTCTCCTTCCCAAACAAAGCCGCCAGAGATGATCCCGTATTGTTGGCACAAAATTCGCGTCAGGCCGGAGAAGTTCGAACTTATGCAGCGATGCGATTGTCGAGCATCAAAGCATTGTTTAAAAGAATTCATTCGTTGACAAGCATAGAGTTAGCGCGAATCTGGAAGTTGACAGTTTTAAGAGAACGAATCTGGAAGTTGACAGTTATAAGAAACTAGCTGGCAAACCCGGCTCCGCCCGGCCCTGTCATTATTATATTCGTAATCAGCATGCTCGATTACCCCCCTGTGCCAACTCCCAGCCCCGTAGCTCAAATTTTGCAAAAAATCGATAAAATCGATATCGATCGATAACGAAAAGTAGCCTATGACACGCTCCCTGCCCCGAAGTATATGTGTGCCAAGTTTGCTCCAAATCGGTTCAGAAATAAAAATTTTTATTCCGCACATACGTACAGACATACAGACAGACATACAGACAGACATACAGACAGACATTCAGCTTTATATATAAGAAGAGGCACGTATACACCTGATATCCCATAGATTACTCAGATGTCGTTGCGTTGGGTATTTTATAGTGTGTTTGGTTACTAGAGCTTGTATGCTTTCTTTTTAGTCCGATGCTTGCGGTTCGGAGACTGCTGACCACCGAATCACCAGCGGTATGTGCTCAGGTTACGTTCCACAATCGCAGTTCAGTACCTCGAGTGGTTGACGATCGCGAAAAAGCACGAGCCTTACCCGATGATGCTGGTTACGTCTACCACTATCATCGTCCTGGAGTCGACCCCCTACCAAGAATTCCTGGGTGTCGCGTCCCTGTTGCAAGGCCGTCCTATCATGTTCGTGACGCCTGGCGCGAATCACAGGCGCGATTCGGGCAAAATGATTATATCGATCTGTTAGGAGATGGACAACTGCATCCAGCTTTGCTACAATACCATACCCCAAAATGGTTAAGAGGATTCCCCGGACAACATAGAGCGAATGAATTAGTGAAGCTGATTCATTATCGGAATCTTTGTTCTGAAAAATTGAAGCAAAATTCACCGAAACGATGGCATGAGCTTTGCAAGAGGATCAAGTACTTGTTACAACACCATAATTATGAAAAACAAGATGAACTTTCGAGAGAACGAAATCTTGGCCTCTGGGACGAAGAACCCAATTATTTCTACAAGGATAAGTCTAGGCGGTCATATCAGGATCTTGTCTGAAGTTCGTGTCCGTGTGAATACGTATTGTATGAGCAGGGCTCGGCACGAGGTGGCTAGATGAAAATGGAAAAAACGAAGTCCCCCTTGACTTTTGGGAATTTTTACGAAGTCCCCTTTGACCCTCAACCAAATTTCCTCTAAAAACCTGAAAAATTCCCCAAAATCCCCCAAAAAACGAAACGTTGACTAAAAAAAAAGGTCGCCGTCGCCAATTTTGCGTGTCTCTTCGGTCACAAAAACGAAACCCCCTTTGCTTTTCGTCTCAAAAACGATATCCAGCTTGCTTGTAAGCCACCTCGTGCCGAGCCCTGTGTACGAGTTTTTTGTTATAGTACTGCGAAATATTCGTTAACTCAAGAAAAACTATTACATTATGCAGTTCTGATCCTTTTTTTTCAGCCACTCTTGGCTGATGTAGCTCTCCTGAGATTCTACCATCTAGCAGTTGTTGATATTTTTGTTATCCATCCAATTTCCTTGCAAATGAAGAATGGCATGCACATTGTAATAAATTGTTATGGTTGTAGTAACAGCATCTTGTAGCTAGGCATCTCAATAGTGTATCATATAAAAAGACCAAGACCGTTTGAATGTTGATATCGGACACATCTTGAGTGCTGAGAAGGAAAGCATGTTTAGTCGAAGTAGTCTTTTTAGATCGGATTTGCATGATATCAAAGAGCATAGAACGCTGTTTCCATGTCTGCTTTCCTTATTTGCGGAATGTTTGTGGACGAGGAGTCATGAGCATTCATTGGAGCAAAAAATTAGGCGTGCACTTGGGATAAAATGAGTTGCCAAAATTTTACTAGCCCTCGAAAAAAGCAACCAAGTGTGATATTTTTTTATCGTGAGTATTCATTTGAATATAGCTTTCAGATAGTTATCACTGCTCCATTGAAGCGTCAGAAGAAAATATTACTACATTTATTTACTTGTACATTCAGTTTTTTGCTCCAATAAACGCTCAAAACTCTTCTTTTATAAACATTTCGCAGACTGGGAAGGCAGAGTTGGAATCAGCGTATTATACCTTTCAATGTGGTTCAAATCTCCTGAAAAGGCCGTTTCGACTAAACATGTTTTGTTCAAAGGTTTTTGAACGCTTTCATTTTTCTGTTCAGCTTTTCACCTTTTCGAAGCTTTCTCGCCATGAGGAATCCATATCTGTGCTTTCCAACGCATGGCAAAAATGAGCCTTTCTCTAAGCTTTCCAGATCCGCATCTAGTGAAAATACGCCGGAAGTCTTCCGCGTCCCGCCTTCCTCGTTTCGGACTTCGCCCACTTGCGCGTACTTTCCACTGGATGAGAACCTGAAAAGATTCGAGAAAAGCTCATTTTCGCCATTTTCAGCGCTGAAAAGCCCTGATATGGGTTCCTCATGGCGAGACGGCTCCGAATAGGTGAGAAACTGGGAAATAATATCTTGCCGGGACGCTGCCTTTAACTGTGGCATGTGTACGTCGCGGAGGAGGAAATCCACATGGGGCGAGGCTTTCTGGACAGGCGTAAGTCTCCCAACTTTCTGATCGGATTTCTCGCTTCTGGTCCAGTGTAACACTTCGAATAGTCGGCGTCGCGGCATCTATCTTCGATTTGTTGACCTCATGGACTGTTCAGACGTTGCGGACCACGCGCAGACAGCTGAAATGTTGCGAGAGCACGGCTTGTACAATGGCGAATTTGTGCTGGGGCGAGTGCTTTGACTCCTGCGCATGCTCCGCAGTGATATCCCTTCCCGTACGGTCAACTAATTGACTAACTTACAATCGCGCTAAAATTCCACATAGCACCACCTTGTCTAGATACTCATTTGAGCTGATTGTGCGCGGACGCCTTCAAGTGCGATTGCGCTTCAATTCATGTGTGGGTCGAAAGCTGTTCACACTTTGTAGACGCTAGGGAGCAAAGAATTAATTGCTGACAAATCTATCACAACCGAAATGCAAGATGACTCGCTTGCAATGAACTGGTAATAGCTGTCTGGCTGAGGGATAGCGAGGCGATGAAATCGCGTGATGTATGCTCGACCCTAAGGCCTAAAGCATACAGGGCTTCTAAATTGCAGAGTCGTTTGCACCAGCGGTCGCGCGAACGCGTCGCGCCCGGGCAATTTGCCGGCGCCGGCGCCATCGATCGAAGCGGCATTGATGCCCGGGCGCGACGCGTTCGCGCGACCGCTGGTGCAAACGACTCTGATTTAGGAGCCCTGTACCTCGCGCGATTCCGGTCCCTACGCGATTCGGTACAAAAGCGACTCTTCGTTATTCGTCGTTGGGCTGTCTCTGGTCAGAACTTGCTCCGTTTGCAACAACTTACACAAGCTACTCAAATATGCGTCCGAGAAGCGCGCACGATAAATCTGTAGAAATCTGGCAAATCGCCAAATCGCGTGAAAGTGGCGATTCGGCTGAATCACGTGAGGTATAGACTAGACGATCAGACTAAACGATCGTCCTGCTTCAGCAGGACGCGGCGCAGCTACTGCCATTTGGTTTCATGTTGTAGGGAAATCAAGTGGGCGTGCGCGACTTCGCTACAACAGAAACTTTCCACTGTTAAGGCCTTGCTATCCTACTCTCATTCTGCGAGGCTTTTTATCACCTCTCCAAAACCACTGTTGTTCCGAGCATCGCAGACGCCACTCAGATTTCCGTCCTACATGACGCCAATTGACGTCAGCTTACTAGTCGCGCAGCCTCCTGCTGAAGCAGGCAGGTTAGATAGGCGCCAGATTAAGCGACTATTTCGTTCAGCTGCAAAAGGCGCGCAGAATTAATGTCTGCTGCACAATGTTTGCTGCTGCTAAGGCCTGCTTCAGCTGCAGGTCGCGCAGAATTAACGTTAAATCTGCGCACGATTGCCTGCTTCAGCTGCAGAACGCGCGCAGACTTAACATTAATTTTGTGCGGTCCTGCGCAGACTTAACGTTAATTCTGCGCGCCTTCTGCAGCTGAACAAAATAGTGGCTTACAAGGGAATGGTCAGAAGTCGAAGTGGCCAATCCAAGCAAGCTGCCTACCATTCGATGCAGCATTCAAAGCTGATTTTGGATCCGTATTCCCTGTCTGCTTATCGCCCTTGTGGAGGAAGTTATGAGTATTTTGGTAAAAAATGGTACCCTATTTTAAGGTGTATAAGCCGCGGGGTGGTCCTAGCTTACATCGATCAGCCCGAACACATCAAAGGACTTCGCAACGAAAGGACCCTATACCGTGCTGCGTGTTACCTGAAATAATCGTGCGGCAGAAGGTCGCTTCTCGAAACACAATAAAGCGGCGGAGCAGCCCGGGCGAAAATTTGAAAAGGTGCGGCTTATACACCTGAAAATAGGGTACAATAAAATGGCGAAGTTGAGCAAATTGTTGCAGTTTCAGCTCACCTCTAGGCTTTAAAATCTAGGATATAAAGTAGATAAACTAGCTGCATGTTTTGACCTAACATTAAGCCGAACATAGCTCTGTACTGCCAAATTTGCGCTTTGCATGCACGATTTTTTAGCAAAATTACGGCTTTCAACGGCTCATAACTTCGCCCACATAGGCGCTGGGCAGATATGAAGTACAGATTCGAAGTCAGCATTTTATGCTGGATCTAACGGTATGCAGCTTGTTTGGATTGGCCACTTCGAATTCTGACCATTCCCTTGTTAGTCTGACGCCTACCTAACGCATTAAAGGCAGTGTCCGGGCAAAAACTCGATTTTGAGATTTTGTGCTTACTTGGGCCTATCCACTACGCTGAATCCGAAAATGCACATTGTAGAGTGCGAAAAGGGCGAAAAACGGCTTTAACACAGGAGGGAAATGAGCAGGTGGGCGGGGTCCTCCCCACTGCAAATTCACGTTCCCGGCTTCCGGAGCGACCTTCTCGCTTCCGGTTTCAAGTCAATCATTCGCACTTGGCCGGTAGCGATGTTAGAACGGCTAGCGGAATCGAGAAAATCGCTCCGGGAGCTGGGGGCTTGAAATTGCACTGGGGAAAGCCCCGCCCACCTGCTGATTTCCCTCCTACATTAGAGCCCTTTTTCGCCGTTTTCGCGCTTTCCAATGTGGATTTTCGGATTCAGCATGGCAAATAGGCCCATATAAGCAGAAAATCTCAAAATCGAGTTTCTGCCCGGACACTGCCTTTAAACAAGCAGGAGACCTCCTAAGATGCCGAAATCGGATACCGATCTCATGTTCCTTTGTTATGTAATTCACAACTCTTTGTGACTATAAGTGATCGTTATGGGACAATTATGGGACTATATCGGTCATACAGTTGTAGGACATCATGCTTTATAGCACGAACTTCGTGTGCTCTCTTACACAAAGGTATGTACGTAAACTGAAAGTTGAGAGGACAGTCAGTTTTAACGTGTTTATATACCACGTTTAGTTGTCTTGAAAGTAAAACACTCCAAAAGCTCAATATGATATTCGCGATTTTCCGGGAAAGTTTGTTGTGGGTTGTGCAATCACACTAATCATAGCTATCCCGTTCAGACCGTAAACGCCGGTTTCTTTTTTCTTCGTAAGTCTTGCAAAGTGTCCTTATCAGTTTTGCAAATCTCATTGCACTTCTTCAAAGCTGTCTTTATAAGCAGGGTAATTCAGTACTGGACTGTCGCAGGAAGATTATTGATTCATTTGTTGCTTTGACATGTTACTACTTGTGTTTATATGTTGTTGTCTACGTGGCATGTGGCTTAAATGCTGCTACCGTAAAGGTTACTAATGAGACATCTTGCATTTGACAAATTCTTTCTTCTATGAAATCTACCGTCGTGAAGCAAATGTTGCGATTTTCTCGATCTTTCTGTGCTTCGCTATCCTTTCGTGGATCATGAAATATCGGAATGAGTGGAGCGATCAATGTTTGAACTGATGCTCGTGACAAGCCCTTCGTATCCAATTCAGACATTCATGACGGTTGTTGACCTGCTACGGCCTATTATGGCCTCGCTTGCGTTATCGCCGTGCCTGATTAGGTTTCTTGCCTTATCGGATCGCTT